TCCTATAGTACTGATTCATGTCTTCAATTTAAATGTCTCATCTACATATGTAAGTTTTCTCATGACCACTTCTGTCCCTAGTTTTTTAACTTCCTCCAACCCGATGATTCTGTATTGCAGTGGCTTTTTGTGAAATCTTCCACTGCCTTCGCCTCACTGTTAGTGGTCTTCCCTTCAGCTGTCTAGGCATCAGAGTCTGATACTCTCTCAATTTTCCCTAAACACCATCTGTTTCTGCACCTTCCTCATCATCTTTAAGACCCCACCCTTACTACTCACCATCTTGATGCACGAGTTTTCTGTCTCCATTGTAACATAATAACATAAAAGCAAAATACAAGAAGTGCTGGAAATTTGAGATTAAAAAACCTCAAGTTGGCAACATCTGTGGGGAGAGAAAGAGTTAAGGTTTCAAACCTAACATGATTCTTTGGAACTGAGGACAAATAGAAATGTTTTTGGACATCTCCTACTATCTCCCCCAGATTATGATCCCACCGTCGAACATCCAGCCATTGTGTCTGTGACTGTCTCTGTCTGATCTCATCTGGGGATCTCTCTACAGGAACAACCTCCCAGCTCATAGTTTCCCCAACCCCATACTGCCCGCTTTTACGTTTTCCCCAAAATCCACAAACAGGACTGCCTGGGCAGATCCATTGTTTCTGCCTGCTTCCCCCACCAGGGAACTTTGTTCTTCTTACCTCTGCTCAATTTTTTTCTTCCCATGTCTCCACTTACATCTGTGGTTCGTCTGACACTTTATGTCAGTTTCAGAATTTCCATTTCATGCGCTCCAGCCGCATCCTTTTCACCATGGATGTGCAATCCCTTTACACTTCAAGCCCTATCAGGATGGTCTCAAGGTCCTTCATTTCTTGGAAAGCAGGCTCCATCCTCGACCACCCTCCTCCGCCTGGTTGAGCTCATCCTCACTTTGAACAACTGCTTCTTTAACTCCTGTCACTTTCTTCGGGTCAAAGCTATGGCAATAGGTACCCGCTCTGGCCCCAGTTATGCCTGTCTCTTTGTAGGGTACATAGAAGATACCTTGTTCCAATCCTACTCGGGTCACTCCCCACAACTCTTTCTCCAGTACATCGATGGCATCATCAGCACTGCATTGTACTGAACTGGAAAAATTTATTAATTTCACTTCTGATTTCCTCTCTGCCCTCATCTTCACCTGGTCTATTTCTGACATCTCCCTTCCCTTCCCTTGACATCTGTGTCCATTTCTAGGGTTAGGCTGGCCACCTATATGCACTACAAACCCACCAAATCTCAAAATTGCTTTGACTATATATCCTCTCACCCTGATTCCTGTAAGGACTTCATTCTCCCAGTTTCTCCATCATATCACAGGGGACCACCTCAAATGTTCACCTTTTTCCTCAACTGAGGATTCCCTGATACTGTGGTCAACAGGGCCTTCAGCTGCGTTCAACTTATCTGCCCCATTTCGGCTTTCACTCCTTCCCTTCCCACCCATGATAATACTAGGGTACCTATGGTCCTCATTTACAACCCACCAGCCTCCACATCCAACGAATTATAAGCCGTCATCCAATGGGATGCCATGATATGTCATGTCTTCCCCTCCACTCCCTTGTCAGCATTCCGCAGGCACAGTCCCCCCAGGACACTCTGATCTACTCCTTTTTTGTTCCCAACATTACCTCACACTCCCATAGCACCTTCCCATGCAATTGCAAAACGTGTAAGACCTGCCAGTTTATCTCATTTTTCTCCCCCCATCCAACATCCAAGCCTCCTGACATATCTTCCAGGTGAAGTAGTGATTTACCTGCACTTCACTCAATCTAGTCTACTGTATTTGCTGTTCACAGTGTGGTCTCCTCTACTTTGGGGAGGTGAAATACAGACTGGGTGACTGCTTTGCAGGACACCTCCATTCTGTCCACAAAAATGACCCCAAGCTTCCAGTTGCCTGCCACTTCAACATACCTCAGTGTTCCCACACCAACATTTCTGTCTTGGACCTGCAGCAGTGTTCCAGTGAGCTTCAGTAAAAGGTTGAAGAGCAGTATCTCATTTTCTGCTTGGAGACCCTGCAGCCTCTAAGATTCAGCATCAAGTTCAATAACTTTACAGCCTGATTCCATCCTTCCCCATACCTGGCCCTGTTATGATATGGGTTGCTTATAGCGCAGTTACCCATACCAGCCTATTCCTAAGCCAATAATCACACCATATGGGTTTCTTTCACCAAAGTTCACCCGTTCTCTCCTACTCTTAGCTGTCATTGTCACTAATGCAGTTTTTCTTCTGACCTGTCCTGATATCCATAATCTCCATATTTACCTACCCTTCCATATCTCTGTCTCACGCTCTGTCTTGCTCTGGGCTCCATCTCCACCTATATGCTCACCTCTCCCTTTCCCCCTGCTTCCACTAACCTCATTTTCAACATAAATACTACTTTTCCCTAGCTGCTAACAGTTCTGATGAAGAGTCAATGAACTCAAAGCATTAATTCTTTCTTCTTACCAATACTGCCAGACCTGCTGCATTTTGCCAGCAATTTCTTTTTTCTTTAGAAATGTTTTATGATGTTGAAACATGAGGGAGGGTCAGGTAGGCAAAAAAAGGATGTCAGGAATAGTTTAGATAGAAGGAGAGTAAATAAAAGGATTTTATGGAACAAAATGCAAATGGAGGGGTAATAAATATGTCAAAAAAGAAATTTGGTCCAAAGTAAGACCCTTCTTCTAGGCCCGAAATGTCAGCCTTCCTGCTCCTATGATGCTGCTTGGCCTGCTGTGTTCATCCTGCTCTACACCTTGCTATCTCATGTTTGTAACCTACCAATTTTAGGTGCTGTTGCAGCAATAGTATAATTTTGGAACATGATCACTAATGCATCCACTGCTTGAAGCTATCCATTTCAACTCTTTAGGCTTCCAGGGATTTGTCAACTTTTAGTTCTGTTAATTTCCCCAAAATTACTTGACTAATACTAATTTATTTCCTTTCCAAACTCTCACTAGACTCTTGAATCTTAATTATTTCAGGGAGACTTCTTGTGTGTTCCATTCTTAGGACAGACACAGTACTTATTTGAAACAAAAAAAAATGGTTTGAGAAACTCAGCAATTCTGGCAGCATCTGTGAAGAGAAAAACAGAGTAAACATTTTGAGTCCAGTGATTTTGTCTGAGCCAAAGTTAATTATACTCTTTTGTCCACCGACACTGCCAGACTTACTGAGTTTCTCCACTCCGTTTTTCTTTCAGATCACCTGCGTCATCTTGCCTTTGTCTTATTACAGTGCTAATTTAGCATCTCTGCCATTTCTCTCTTTCCTGTTATAAAACCTCCTGTCACTGCCTGTAATGGATCTACATTTGCCTTTGCTAATATTTTCCTTTTTACATACCTATAGAAGTATTTACAATCTATTTTTATGTTTTCTGTTATTTTGCATTCATATTCTATTTTTTAAAATCAATTACTTGGTCATCCTTTGCCAAATTCTAAATTTCTCCCAATTGTCAGGTTTATGCTTTTGTTTTGGCAACTTTATAAGCCCCTTCTTTTGATCTAGTATCATGTTTAACTCCCTTCGTTAGCCACGGCACACTCTCTTTTGCTGTGGGTGTTTTTGCCTGAAAGGAATGTTTGCTTTTTGAAACCAAACATTAATTCTTTACGTACTAGCTGTTGTGTACCCAGTATCAAACCTTTTAATGCATTTTTCCAATCCACCACAGCCGCTCTCACTTCATATTGGCTTATGTTTGGAGTTAAGACACTAATTTCAATTTAAATTGCATCTTTTTCAAGCTTAATGAAAAATGCCATGATGCTATGCTAATTTTTTTCCTAAAGGTTATTTAATGTCAAGGTTATTAACTAGTGCTGGCTCATTCCATAATACTACATTTAAATAGCCATACCTTTTGGTTCTTCCATATATTGTTCCAGAAAACTAATTTCACATGAAACTAACTAATTAACACATTCCAAGAATTCTTTCTCCACAGCATTGGTGCTATTTAGATTTACCTAGTTTTAAGCCTGTCAAAACCAAAACTCTAACTGGAACCCAGGAAAACTTGTAATCGTGGAGATAAAATTTTGCTTGAAAATGAATATGGAATCTCTGGCTCAGGACTAGTTAGATTTCGGAGCTACAGTGTGGAAGGGAAATGTAGTGGACACTGTTGTAATGAGCTCTATTATTTATTAAATCTAAGTCTGAAATTAATGTCTATGATGCACCAAAAGGGTTACTGCTTGATTACACCTTTGTGCACATTTGATGGAAATGCATTACCTGTGACCTCACCAATCTGCCAAAGGTGTTTAGGGTGATGGTGTATTTTGTGTAAGAAATGTGTAGCAGTTATTTTGAAAAAAGGTTTCTTTTGTTAACTTGTTTTTGTTGTTTTATGCCTATTTATGTACTGTGGTGTCTAGGAAATGGAAGTCTTCATTGTGAATTGAATGGATGGTTGATAGTTGTCAAAGATATTGATGAATCCTTCCAAATCTGCTTCTTTAAGAGTCCAAATGCCCAAGGTGTCCACACAAAATAGAAAATATTGTTACGACATGACTATATCACTTAATAACTAAGTTAATGAGAGTGAAAAAGGAACCCCTAAAAACTTCCAAAGTAGCTACTGAAAATCTCAGGAGCCCTCGGCAAAAGAAAATTATTTTGACCCCAGTAGAAGGAGTACAGGGGAACTCTCTGGTGATTTTGGGAGGGAAGAGGAAGAGTAAGGGACACTTTTCGGTGATGCTGACAATATTTGGCTGATCTGTTGGCCTATATGAGACTCCAAAACTACAGCATTGTGATTGACTTTAGCTGCCCTCTGAAATGGCCTAGCAAGCCATTCAGTTCAAGAGTAATTGGGGATGGGCAACAAATGCTAAGCTCATGAGTGATGCTTGCATCCCATCAGAACTGAGGAAGGGTCACTCGACCCGAGACATTCACTCTGATTTCTCTCCATAGATGCTGCCAGACATGCTAAGCTTTTCCAGCAATTCCTGCTTTTGTTCAAGAGTAATTGGGGCTGAGCAACAAATGCTGCGCACACCACTGATGTTTGCATCCTACAAAAGACTAAAGGTGATGACTGGTAAAGAGCTGCGTTTTCCCAGTAGTGACCAAACTCTGAAACTGGAGTGTTATTGGTTGGTCAGTTGAATAGAAGCTCTGAAATGTGACACCAACAGGACTGCTGTGATATGTGAGAGAAAGCAATCAAGAAGTGTGCCTCAGTACTGACAATTGTGCCCGTGAAACTGAGATGGCCCAGGCTAAACTCTCAAATTCCATCTTACTTGACTGTAAATCTGATGTGTCATTCCCTCATCTTCCTGAGATATTTTTAAGTGATCATGACATCATCCATTAACATTTTTCATGTCATCTCCATGGAATTATTTTTAATCATAGAATCTCTACAGTGTGGAAAGAGGTCATTCATCCATCCAACCCAGACCAACTGTGCCTTCAACCCTATCCCAGTAACTCCATATTTACCATGCTAATCCACCTAACCTATACATCTTTGGACTATATGAGGAAACCGTAGCACCTGGTGGAAACCCAAGCAGTCATGGGTGAATGTGCAAACTATACATCCTTTCAGAATATGTATTGACTGTGGAACATAGGAATAAGAGTAGGCTATTCAGTCCTCGATCCTGTTCTTCAGTTCAGTTAGGCCTTGGCTGAACTTCAGAACCTCTGATGACAACCTTTGATTGCCCTTGAGTAACCAAAAACAAGGACTGTTTTCTTGACTCTGCAAATATCGTTGGCTGATCATTGAGAAGCACTAAGCTTGGACAATTCAAAATGCTAGATTTTTAACTATTGGTATTGTTCACAGGTAAAGCTGTTGCTTGTCAGTAGTGACTACAGTTGACAAGTACTCATTTAGTTGTAATGTACTTATAGATGCATGAAAGTGAAAGGTGCTCCATAAATACAAATCTTTTATTTCTTTTTAGCTCATTGGTGAGAGCAAATAAAGCTGTTAATTATGATTTGGAGGAGTTTTATTGTACAGTGAATGTGCAAATAACTTTGCATTTACACAGCAATATTTGTAGTTTCAAGCAATGAAAAGGCCATTCAGCCCATCGAGTCTGCACCAACATACCTACCGCTAAAGACATGCTAATCCCAATTTTCTTCTATAAAGAAATAACAAATCTGACTTCCAGTTCCAGGTCAGATTTCCAGTGCGGGTTATTTACAGACATCCTGAATTGCAGGGATTGGAAGCAATCATCCCTAATTCTGGAATTATTTGATAATTATTTCATAATTGTTGATTTTTTTTTGCATAAAAACTTTACACGCACTGATTCTTTAAAATGTTTCCTTTGGTTTCAGGAAATAATTTCTGTTTTGTATGGTACGTCAACCTGACTAAATGAGCAGCTTGGCATTTTGGGCACTAGTTTATTGCTTTAGCATCATCTTTGGAGTGCCTGCTATCAGCTGTGACGAAGACGCAGATATCCATTCAGGTAGGAGTGCTGAACATAACTAGTTTTACTGTTGTTGGATGTGGTAACTATATCACAAATTTGATGTCAGTGGCAGCACTGCTGTGAATTAAAGGTAGTGCTATAGGCTTGAGCAGGGCAGAGAAATGCTACGTTAATTTGTTTTTCTTCCATGATCATGGTGCTGGCAGAGCCTTGTTTATATTGATAGTCTGTTCAGACCAGTTCACTGCACCCTGCCCCACCAATCACCCCCAATTTCCAGGTGTTGGAAAAATGATCCATGGCTAAAATGGAATGAAAAGCTTTATCCAGCTGTTTATAATTATGACCTGTGAATTTGTGCCAGGAATGAAACTGATTTGTGTGTTAGTAACCTAATTTTGCTCAGATTTCTTGCAAACAATAGAGGGAATTGGAAGTTCATCACTTTTGCTTGATTTAAACTTGAACTAAAATATTCAAGTTGAAAATTTAAAATTTTACACCAACCATCTATCAACTGTCTACTTAATTGTGCTTTTAATATTTATTAGTTTTGACTATCAAAACTGATTGAATAATAGGTAACATCAGGTGTATGCTAGAACAGTCTGTATATTACATCAAACCAGTGAAGACTAGGTATGTATCAGAGCTGTCTGTGGAAGTGACTTGGAAGTTATGGATGAGCACATTTAATTTCCTTCACTTCCTATAAGTTCAGGTATAGTTTCAGTTACATCTCCTGCATGGTATTGAGCTAAACAGAAGAGGCCAAGGCATTAAGGAGAGCAGAAGGACAGAGATGGGAAAACAAGGTAGAAAGTGAGAAAATATTTCCTATTGTTGAGGAATCTAGGATTATCAGGGTCCATAGTCAAAAAATGAAAATTGGGCTTTTCAAGACTAAAATTGGAAATTACTGCTTCATACAAAGGGTGTTAGAGGTTTGTCTTTGATAAATGGCAGTTGGTTCTATATTAAATGCTTATTTTAAATTTGAGTTTTTTTTTAATTGACCAAGTTGTAAGGGATATGTAAAGAGGCAGCTATATAAAGTTATATCAGGCATCAGCCATGGTCTCACCGAATATTGAAATCAGAGCTAAATGACCTGCTCTTGTTCCTATATTCTCAGGCTTGTGCAAGATACCATTTCTGGTCTGTTGCTAAACGCCACAGAAAGAACTGGGCCTAGATTACTTTCAGACCTAGTGCTGGGCCCAAATTCCAATTCAGCATTGGTTTTGACCCACAGAGTGGAAGTGCTCAGATTCAATCTGCAGTCTGTACTGAAGCACACAGGAGTCTGTGTCTTCTGCATCTGTGGTTTCCATACTGTGCCCTTTGCTTGGCCGTAGTTTGCATTCGTTTAAGTAACTAATATGCATGATACAACAAATTTTGAAGGTTGCTGACTCTGTAAGTGGCAAATCCAGGCTAGATTCTATCAAGCAGTGAATTTGAGACCAAATCTCAGGCTCTGGGGAAATAGAGGAAGGTGGAACCAAGTTGTTCCAGTACAGCTGCAACATTGGCATCTACCCAGCAGTGTGGAAAATTGCACAGATACATCCTGTACACAAAAAGCAGGACAAATCCAAGCCTAACCAATTAGTACATCAGTCTATGCTCGATCATTGGTAAAGTGATAGAAGGGGCCATAAACAGTGCTGTCAGGCAGCACTTGTTGCACATTCCTAGTTTCCTTTGCAACAACCTGTTCGTTGATGCTCAATTGAGCTCTGCCAGCGCCACTTGGCTCCTGACCTCAGTACAGGCTTGTTACAAATGCTCCCACGTGCAAATTGCCCTTCAAACCATGCACATCCTGACTTCAAACTGTATCATTGTTCCTTTGCTGCTTATTCAAAAACCTGGAACTGCCTCCCTGAGGGTGTTATAGGTCTCCCTGCACTATACTGCAACAGTTCAAGAAGGCAGCTCATGATCACTTTCTTAAAGGAAACTAGGGCTGTGCAATAAGTGCTAGCTCAATAAGCAATACCTACATACCAGGAGTGAATGAAATGAAGAACTAGAAAGCTCTTTCGAAGAACTGTGTTGCCATTACAGATTACCCCATTTATTGAATGCTAAATTACATTTGTTGAATATAAAATTCCGAAAGTCATTTCTTGATAACTCTTATGAAACTGATATTTATATTTTCCCCTCACATTTCACTAGTGCTGACATTTTAGTGGATGATCAAATGAAGGATATAGGCCTTCTATTTGTCATTAATTCTATTATGCATATAGATTGTAAATGAAGGGAAGAGCTATTTACACTGATGTGTGAGTGTGTGCGTGTGAGTGAGTGTGTGTGTGTGAATGTTTGTGTGGGTGTGTGTGTGTGATGTTATATAGATGTTATTTGGTCAACCTGTGTAGAGATGTTTCTACACACCTCTGGAGAGGTTTGGACATGAACCCTGGCCTCCTGGCACAGAGGCAGCATTCACCACTGAGCCACAAGACCCCTTCACTTTTATCCTATAAACCGACCTGAATTGAAAAAGTGAAGTCTGTAGCTAAAATTGTGGATGCCGAGGAACAGTTTCAGAATTCTATAATTAGGTGATAGTTAAAGATGTTAAGTGTCCCATTCTAATGGTTATAATTTAATAATCTGTTATTTAGAAAAATCTACTATCCACTTGTTATGATTTTTCACATTGCCATCCCTTTGACTTCATGGAAACTTTATACCTCTTTACTTTAACTATTGACTAGTGATAAAGAGTATAATTCTATGAGCAAGGAACCTCCTCTACTTCGATGAAGAAGCCATTTTGACTTTTACAGGTTTAACTCTTGAAATCCTATATGCATCTGTTGAGCTTGTCTCATGCTCTGAACTACATGCAGAGATCTCAAGTTTGTTCTTGGAAAGGCATGACCACATTTACATCTGCCTCAAACCCATTGAGTGTCTTGCTGGGAATGGAGTTTGTTGGTGTTTAATGGCTGAGTTGTTCTGGTTATAATAGTTAGTACAGCATGACATTAGTAGAATATGACAGGGCAGCTTGACCAAGTGGAATGTATAGTTTGTGGAAAATGAGAAGTCGTGGATGCACCATGTGTCTGAGTTGAACATATTGGCAGTAAGTGACCTCTAAGTTTCAAAACCCGAGCAATGGCTCAACTCATTACAGCGCATCTGTGAAGCAGGTGACTATGTGAATCACATGTTTAGGAAGATGGTCACATCGCAAATAGATAAGAAATGGGAGATTGGCAGGCAATCCAAGAGAACCTTGCTCAAATTGGTTTTCTGCTTAGAATACTGGTAGAGGTGGTGGTTCCTCGATGGAGTGTGGACAGAACCAAGTCATTGACACCACATTTCTGCATGCATAAACATTATTCCAGGATGGTGCGTTGCTTCCCTGTTGCCATGGTCAAGTATGTCACAATCACCGCAGGACATTCTTATCTGGAAAGGTGAACATCCGAAGGTTGTGGTCCATTTCGGTACCAATGACTTAGGTAGGAAGGAGGGTTGGGTTTGAGATCCTGAAAACAGGTTTCAGAGAGTTATGAAGGAGATTGGAAAGCAGGACCTCCAAAGCAGTACTCTCGGGTTTTTTAATTGACCCAGTAATGTATTGCAATCATTTAGGTAATGACTAGAATCGGAGTTACAGGTTCATGATTAGGTTTTTAACCCATCTCTAAAATCTGGTTGCACTTTGCAATGTGCATGTTAGAATGAATACCTACAAAATCTACTAAATGTCACACATTCTATCAGCACATCTGAAGTTACTCAAAGTTGTAGTTCTATCTTATTTAAATTTTGGTCATTCAAACATACCAAAGTTTGGTATATTTATTAATAGATCACTTCGTATATTTTAATCCCACACTTTTTATTCTCAGAAATGAAGAATCCAATTTTTCCAACAGTAAGGTCCTTTTCATTTAGCCGACATTTAGCTTTTCAATCTGAGGACCCTCTGGAAGTAAGTTCAATGTACCACGTAGTTTCAAAAATTTTAGAGGTGAAATTTTAAACAGAGTTCTTTCAGAACCTTTTTAAAAGTAAACCATTGTCAGAAAATTGAAATTGTTCACAACAACAGGAAATATAGTTCGAATAAAGCAAAATTGTTTTAGACCAGTGAAACACAACATGAGGCTTGTGGGCTAATTCTGCATGGTATCATTTTGTCACCCAACTAAGTCTTCAATCTTTTATTTGAATTTGCCTGCTGGGGCTTTTCATTGACCCACTGCATAGACACCCCACATTTAATAAAGTAAAGCGCTGTGTGCACAGCCATTTGTCAATATTAACTTAGCAGTGATTTAGAAATAACATCCCAACTTTTAACCTTTAACCGAACTCCTGGAGCTTTCTTCTTAAAAGCACTGTGGATATCCTTGCACCATGTGGACTGTAGTAGTTCAAGATGGTGACTTACTATCACCTTCCATAGGGCAATTGAGGATGGGTAACAAATGCGGACATAGCCAGCAAAACCCATATCCCAGGGAAGGGATAAAAGATTACTGCCTTCTGAAATGTTCTCAATTGCTAATGGAAGAGTAACAAATTAAGAGCTCATCCCTTTAAATTAAAGAAAAACAAACTTGTTTTTCACAACCCATCCCAGAGAGAGCATTTCACAATCAATGAAGTACTTTTGAAACATTGAGTAACTTTCTCAATGCCCACCCTGACTACTGTTTTACTGAACACTCCCAACATTCCCCTTGCCACGACTTAGCTGTCATTCCCTACCACCCCAGTTCCTAGACCATCCTGCCATAGTTTAAAAACTGCTTCCTGTTTTACATCAATACTACTTCCCCATTTCTCTGAGAACACAGCCTCCCAAATATTGGAAGTCTTCTCACTTTTATGATGTAGGAAACATGACAGTCAATTTGCACTGGCAAGACTTCACAAACAGGGTGTTGGCAGAACTCTCCAATTTTTCTGCAAAAAGTGCCATGGAATTTTGAATATCCACCATAAGCTTAATACCTCATCTGATGTTGCAGCAGTCCCTCAGTACTGTTCTGATTCTGTCTGATTTCTTTTTGGTATAACTTTAGGATGTCAGGCTTCACCTAATTGCAAGTCAGCGCTGACTATGGTTTAATATTCCCTGTTTGGTGTTTGGAATGTATTTAAAGTAATGTGACCGTTGAAATTATATGTTGACTTTGTTTAATTTATTTTTTTCCAAAGATAATCCAATTTCCTTTATTTGAAAAGGAAAAGAAGCAGTGGGGTGTTGCAAATTTATTTTGATGGCATATGCAGCAGGAATTGCATCTTGGGACTAATTGGACAGAGATAACTTTGCATTTGCCATCAGACCTGAAAGACAGTTTTGATCTCTAGCACAGTGATTTGAACCCAGTTTCCACTTTTCCTGTTGTGAAACAAATGTGTGATAATGCAATTTAAAGAAGTAACTTCTTTTAGATGGGGAAGGTGGCTAGAAAACATCGAGGTAAGTCAACAATTAAGCTGGCATCGTGGGCAAAGCTAGGTAGTGGGATGGAGAAGGGTTCATTGTAGAGCAGCATTTTCTTTTAGAATGAAAGATGCTTGCACTCAAACTAGAGTTTTTGTTTTGATTTGTATTTTTAACCCACCTCTAAAATCTGGTTGCACTTTGCAATGTGCTGGTTACAAAGTTTGAATAAATTGTTAGGAAAATATTCTCCGTAATCATGTAGCAGACATTATATGTCCACCTCCCAAATGTCTTGCAGGATATAAAGTGAATGATGTACTGCATATGTTTCATTATTCTATGGAATTTACGATTTCTTGCAGATGATTGGAAAAGGCCCAATATCACAGCTGTTCCTCCAAGGGATCAATCCACAGTTATCGTGGGAAAGGATACCAGCACAAGACAAGCATCTGGGGAGAATGAAAATCATTTGGAACTTGGATTCATTGCCTGTGCTGTTGCAGTCGTGTTCTTTGGAAGTAATTTTGTTCCTGTGAAGAAATTTGATACCGGCGATGGTGACTATACAATACTGTTTTCATGAAAGTTTTTATTATCTAATAGGCGTGCGACCTACACAAATCTTGCTGAATGTTTGATCAATTAGATGGAAAAGAAAATCTGAAAACACAAAGCAAGTATTGAAAAATCCATGCAATTCTCAGTTTTGATTTCCTAATCCTCTCGGTGGTAACACACAAGACCATGGACATACTGTAACTTAGTTTTAAATGCATTTAAAACTACTTCGTAGTTTTCCACTGCATTTGGTATTTCATATAAGATAGCCATTGTCTTATCAGTCTCTGCCTTCATCTTGTTGTGCTTCTATGTCTCTTTTGCCTCTGTCCTCTCTCTTATCTGTTGCTTTCCTCTCCTTAACTCTTTTTGTTTTCTTTTCCTTTTGTGTATTACCATTCACAAGCTTAAGGAAATCAAAACTAAGAGAAATGTGTAGATTCTTTAATGCTTGCTTTGTGCTTTGCAGGCACGTGGAGGGGAACTTATAGGTGGTGCTGTTCTCAATTCATACACCAGGTTCCATCTATCTAACAGCATTATGGGTTGATGTAAACCACAAGGATAATGGTACTTCAAGAATATGGCAGATCACCACCAACTTAAGATCAATTAGGTTATAAATCTTGACCTAGCCTGTTACATTCACATCCCCATAATGAATAAAAATGAGAAAGACCACATTTGCCATTCAGAGTTTCTCTACACGTACAAACAGATTCAAGAACAGCTTCTTCCTTGGTGTTATCAGATTTTAGAATGAACCTGTTAAATATTAACATTGATCTCTCTCTACACCTTCTCGGCAGCTGTAACATAGAGTGCAAGAGACAATCTTGTTACCCTAATGCACTTGTATAGTACAATGTGCCTATAAAGCATGTAAGACAACACTTTTCATTGTACCTCAGTATACAAAACAGTAGTAAATCCCAAAATCAGTTGTCACCTTCTCCGTAGTTTGCTACACCATACCATGCATTAGTTCTCATGGTTGCCATTAGACTAGCTTTTAATTCTAGATTTTATTGAATTGAAATTTCAGGATCTGCTGACGTAAGGAAAGTATGAAGCTTTTTCCCAGGGTGGACGGATCAATTACTAGGGGACACAGGTTGAAGGTGCAGAGGGAATGTTTAAGAGAGATGTGCGAGGCATGTTTTTCACACAAAGGATGGTGAGTGTCTGGAACACACCGCCAGAGGAGGCGGTGGAAGCAGACACAATAGCAACATTCAAGAAACACCTGGACGAATACATGAATAGGAAGGGAATAGAGGGATACAGATCCTGTAAGTGAAGACAGATTTAGGATGCAAGGGCAAAATGTGTTGGCACAGGCTGGGAGGGCTGATTGGCATGTTTACGAGCTGCATTGTTCTTTGTTCTAATTCCCAAGGATGTTAATTGAGAGCTCCAAATTACTAGTCGAGTGACATTGCCGCTTTGCCACAACTTTCTCTTGAAGTACTTTTCTTGCAGATCATCTATTATTTTATGCAGTTGTAGAGTCATACAGCATAGAAATAGACCCTTTGGTCTGACTCATCCAAGCTGACCAAATCTCTCAAAAAAAATCTAGTCCCACTTGCTTGCGTTTGGCCCACATCCCTCTAAACCTTTCCAGTTCATGTACCTGTCCAAATATCTTTTAACTGTTGTAACTGTATCTGTATCTACTACTTTCTCTGCAGTCCATTCCATATACGAATCACCCTCTGTGAGAAAGTTGCCCCTGAGGTCCCTTTTAAACCTTTCTCTTCTCACCATGAAAATATGCCTCTTTGTTTCCACATTCCCCACCCTAGGGAAAAAAACTTTTGGTATCTATGCCCCTCGTGATTTTATAAATCACAACCTCCTACTCTCCAACTGGGGGAAAAAAGAAGTCCCAGTCTATCCAGCCTCTCCTTATAACTCAGACCCTCTAGTCCCAGCAACATCCTGTTAAATGTTTTCTGAACCATCTCCAGCTTAATAATATCCTTCCTATAACAGGGAGACCAGAACTGCACACAGTACTCCGTAAGAGGCCGTACCAACGTCCTGTGCAACCTCAACATAATGTCCCAACTCCCATACTCGGCGATCTGTGCCATGAGGGCAAGCTGCTGAATGCCTTCTTGATCACCCTGTCTACCTGTGATGCAACTTTCAAAGAATTGTGTACCTGAACCCCTAGGTCTCTCTGTTCGACAATATTCCCCAGAACCTTATCATGTATTCAAGAGGCAGCTAGATATAGCACTTGGGGCGAATGGGACCAAAGGTTATGGGGACAAAGCAGGATTAGGCTATTGAGTTGGATGATCAGCCATGATCATGATGAATGGCGGAGCAGACTCGAAGGGTCAAATGGCCTCCTCCTGCTCCTATCTTCATGTTTCTTTATAAATTGTGTAGGTATTGCCCTTGTTTGTTTTACCAAAATGCAATAGCTCTCAATTATTCAAATTAAACTCCATCTGCCACTCCTCAGCCCAGTGGCCCAATTGATCAAGATCCCCTTGTAATCTTAGATAACCTTCTTCACTGTCAACTATACCACCAATTTTGGTGTCATCTGCAAACATACTAACCATGCCTCCTAAATTCTCATCCAAATGGTTAAGAGAAGTGAGAAATAACAGTGGACCCAGCACCGATCCCTGCGGAACACCGCTGGTCACAGATCTCCAATCCAAAAACAAAACCCTCCACCATCACCCTCCATCCCCTGGTGTATAACTCAGTCAATAAAGAAAAGTATCCCATATATTGTCTTCATCATTTTAATTACCTGGAAAATTGCTATGGAGTGTTTTATCCACAAAATGCAGGACTGATTCAGTTTGGCCACTTACCACCTTATCAATCCATTCACAAACATCAGCAAAGTATCAGAAAGTGTCATTAATAGTGTCATCAGGCAAAAACAATAATTTGCAGACCATTTCTTGGTTTGGATTTTGTCAGGGCCATTTAGCTTTGGATCTTATTCCAGCCCTGCTACAAGAGATAAATAGAAGATATAACAGGAGAGTAACTACTCTTGAAATCAAGGCAGCATTTGACCAAGTGTTTTGTCAGGGAACTGCAGCAAAGTTAAAGTAAATGAGAATCAGGATGGGGTGTAGCAGACAAGGAAAGTGAGAGGACCTATGCACTGTTTGGTGCTGTACCTAGAGCAAATGAAAATATTTGTAGTTGTTAGAGGCCAATCATATCATCCCCATGGTATGTCTGCTGGGGTTCTTTATTATATTTTCTAATCAACCTGTTGAGTGATATATTATATAGACCTTTGGAGCAGGTAGAATTTGAACCCATGCCTCCTGGCTCAAAGCTAGAACATTGCCACTGCATCACAAGAACACCCCAACGCTGTTTGTTTATTTTTCTTTAAAATCTAAAATGCTGCTTTACATAATTGAACATTTCTTTCCCAACACCAAATCACCCATGGTATTTTTTCATCTATTAACCGCTACCAGTAAATTATGCATATTTTCCAACTAATTAATTTACACGCAAAACCCGTTAAGGACAATGCAGACTGCCAAAGGTGAGGGAGATGTAGAGTTCTTCTTTGTTGAATCCTAGCCTCAATTATCCTGAGCTGGTTCATCAACAAACTTGCCTCCACCTTAAGTCAGAGCGGGGATGTTCATAGGGTATTGCAACATTCAGTCCATTCACAGTTCTTCAGATAGTGAAACAGCCCATGCCTATCTGCAGCAATACCTGGACAAAATTCAATCTTGGGATAAGGAGATTTGAGCCACCCAAGTGCCCAACAATGACTATCTCCCTCAAAAGAGAATTTGGCCATCTCCCCATGATGTTCAAAGGTATTATCATCTCTGACTACCCCAAAATCAACATCCTGTGATTAATTATCCAGAAATGCAACTGGAGCAGCCATATAGATATTGTGGCTGCAAGAGCAAAGTTTGGAGCAGAAACAGAAATTGCTGGAAAAGCTCAGCAGGTCTGGCAGCATCTATAAAGAGAAATCGGAGTTAATGTTTCAGGTCTGGTGACACTTCCTCAACTCCGAACCAAACCCGAAACATTAACTCTGATTTCTCTTCATAGATGCTGCTAGACCTGCTGAGCTTTTCCAGCAACTTCTGTTTTTGTTTCTGATTTACAACAACCGCAGTTGTTTTGGTTTTTATTCAGCAAAGTTTGGAGATTCCATGGTGAGTAATTCACCACCTGAGTTCCCAAAACCTGTACAATCTACCAGGGGCAAATCAGAAGTGTGATTGGAATACTGAACAAATGCCTGAATGAGCCCAGCTCCGACATTCTGGAAGCTTGCCACTATTTGAGACAAAGCAACCTGCTTGATCACTTTATTATCAGTGCATACCATCTGCAAGTGTATTGCAGCAACGAAGACTCCTTCAAGAACATCTAAACTGATGACCTCTACCTCCCAGAAGACCAAGGACAACATATTTAAGGGAATGCGAGTGCCTGCAAGTTCCCTCCCAACTCTCACACCATCCTGACTTGAAACAATGTAGCTTTTCCTTTTCTATTGCTGCTTGAAAATCCTTAACATATTCTTAACATGATCTATGACCTTACACCATATGGTGTTCTTTAGTATCTTAGTTTTTTTTCTGTTCTTTATTCTTTAATGTTTCACCACAATTAGTTTGCTTCTTTTTGTCTTCCATTGAAAACACATCCCTTAAACTCTTATATATTATCCCTTTAGAGATTTCTCAGTATTTTTCTATTCTATATTTGGCACATTTTCTCTCAGCTTATCTTCCTTAGTTCCACATTGATCGTAATGTGTTCCTTCCCATACTATAGCACCACACTTTGCCTGACTATATTCCATTCACTGCTACTCAGATGATCTCCTGCTTTTGCTTCTCCTGTCTGTTCTGGTTTAATACTATTGCACAGTCCACTTGTGATCCTTTTTAGAATTCTTAAGTACTGGGTGAGCCCTCCTATACATGCAATAAAACCTTAAACACTGTTTCTCCTTTCACTGTTCCTTCCTGTCTGTCAACTTCTCATTATTATTCTTATTATTTTCTAACTCCAATTCCCTACTTGATATCTATTGTGTGCTCCTATTAGAATGATAAAACTTTTTTTTAAGCTTTTAACTTAATTTTCATGGATTCTTTGTCTTTCTATATCTGTATTTTGCCACCATTCTCTCGTCTTTAATTATCAAAGTTACTTCGCCTCTTCTCCTTCCCTGCCCTATCTTTTCTGTAAGTATTATGCCCAGCAATTTTGTTGTCTGTCACTTCAGTCATCCTCACCATTTCCAGGTCTTCTGTAGAAATTATGTGTCCAGATCATTCATATTTTTCAATATATTGCATATATTGTGGTTCAACAATTTAATTTTTTAATGGTATTTCTCCCTTCTTGTTTTTAGCAGTTATTATACCTTTGTGCTCTGAGACTTCATCTGATTTCTGACCATTGCAGTTTAATTTCTACAGCAGATCTTGTATGTAAGCAGTCCAAATTGTTGTTATTGCAGCTGTGCAAGGAACATAGTGAACACGCTCTTGAAGCTTTTGTCACACTCCCATTTACAATCTATCCCAGTCTGTATGTGGATAATCAGTTTCCCGTTATGACTACTCTATAATTCACTCATCTCTGTAATTTCTTTGTAATTGTGTTGCTGTCCATCTTTCCAACTGGATACAGGGCTGTAGATTACCAGAAGCAATGTAGTCACAACTTTCTTTGTTCCTTGGATTTCTTAGGTCAAGATTGGTTCTTGACACCTCTGGGACATATCGCTCTCATTCTCTTTCCAGCACTGAAATTAATTAATTCTGTCACCCTCACCCTGTTTCCTTCCTTTTCTATCTTTACTGAACAGCTTGTAGCCAGGAATACTTAACACCCAGAGCTTTCCTTCATTGAGGCAGGTCTTTGTTATAAACACAAAATCAGATGGCAATCTGTGCCTGTAACTCTCCGATCCTATTTACCCATGTTGTACGTTCATACACGGGCTTAGCAAAATTTATTACTTTCTCTTGTACAGTATAAACTACTTAATAACTTAATATTTTTATTTTATTACAGCTATCCAGAGCCAAACTATTCCCTTCCTTCACACTGCCTGGTATTTTAACGCTGTGCACTATTCTCCTCTTTTCTACTTCCATATGCTGGTTCCCCCTGTGAATATAGTTTTAACGCTCCTTAACCACAAGACTGAACCTTCCTGCAAGGTCCAGCCCTAGTGAGGTGCAACCTGTCTCTTTTGAATACCTGCCCCTTCTATGTCATTGGGACTGATGTGTCAAATACCTTCTGTTTGTTCCCCCCGTCCTGCAGAATATTCTGCATCCTTTCTGTGATGTTCTTTATCCTGGCACCAAGGAAGCTTTATACCAGGTAGGCCTCATTATGACAGTTATGGAATTAGCCATCTATCTGAAATCCCCTGGAACAGCTGCATTTCTGCACTTTGCTGTTTTCACCTGTACAGTTCCTTTGCCAGTGGTGTCATAGTCTGCACTGAATTCCTGCAGAGTATTGTCACTCCTAGCAGTCTCCAAAGTTAAGGATCTGTTTGAGAATGTGCACACCCTGGAAATTGCGAAACTTCCTACCTCTTCTTGATGGTCAAGCACTTACTACCCTGAAGTCTCACTGCCTGAGGGTTGGCAACCAACTGTAGTGTACAATCTAGGAAACTTTGATCCTCCCTGACGCTCCCATGTGACTCCAGCTGCCCTCGAGCTTGGGGATCCTGAGCTCGAACTCAAGCAGCTCGAGGTACTTTGTACAAACTTTGTCACCCAAGATAATTGAAATTTCATGAAGTTCCCATACTGTGCAGGAATTACAAGCAATAAGTCCCTGATGCCCATCTATGACGAAAACTGCCTCCTTTAATGTTCAACTAGTACCCGGTTTGAACTATTACTTTAAATGATAACCTCCTAGCTGTTTTGAACTTGTAACCTTGTTAATTGACATGCTATTTGCAGTATTTTAATTTGATTTCCCATCTCTTTTAAACAAAAAGCTGAGTTTTGATAGAAAAGAGAAAAACAAACACCAACCAATCATCTGCCTCATTTTCCTTTCATTTACTCTGGAGGTCTCTGTGTCTCTCATTCTGACTACTGCTTCAATGATGACCATGATGCTTCCCCTTTCCTGTTAGTGTTTCTCACTTTTTTCACTGCTGCTTTCATTCCCACAGTGCTTCCTCTCTCCTAGTGGTCTCTCTTACTGTCTCTACAGCTCCTTTCATCCCACAGTTTGCCCGCTCTCTTTCCCTCGCTCCCTGGCTTGTATCTCAGTCTCTCTCACTCTCTCCACCACTCCTTTCTTCCCACAGTGCTCCCCTCTCCTGTTGGTCTTTGTCTTTCTCACTGTCCACTGCTCCTTTGATCCCTACAGTGCTCCCCTACTTCTTCTGATTCTGAGTTTCTCCTTCTCTCACCTCCTCCTTTTATGCCCACATTCTTTCCCCTTCTCGCTAGTGTCTCAGAGCCTCTCACCATCTTTATCACTGCTTAAATTCCTACAGCATTCATTCTGTTCCATTAGGGGTCTCACTGCTTCTATCACTCTACTGTTCTTTTTCTCTCCATGGTTCTCCCCTTCTGCTTGACTTTCACTGTCTACTGTTCCTTGACATTGATCTCCCCTCTTGGTGATCTCCTATTACTCACTGAGTGTCTCTCGTTCTCTTTGTGTTGTTTTTAACCTCTGCAGTGCTCTTGCTTCAATGCTGGTCTTGCCAAATAATACAATTAGTAAAACTACCTTTCGGCATTTCACGTGATAAAGACACTAAATGTCAGAAGGCTTTGCTAGGAGGACTGATTAGAACCTGAGACAAAGAAGTGGGTCTTAGAGTTTTTTGGATAAAGAAATAGTAATGTAGTGGCAGACGATTTTCAGGAGGTACTCCTAGCACATGAGACCTAGATGGCTTATAGTACAGCAGTAGTTTGAAGAGAGGTAGACATGCACATCTGGAGAATGAGCCATTTGTTTCTATGTTGGAAAGGGCTAGATAGTTGATGCTCTAATAATAGAGAGGGTAAGGCTTTTGAATATGAGAATGGGAATTTCGAAATTTCTGAGGGCAGTATGCTAATGTAGGTCAAAAAGATAGGTGAAACCTAGTGTGGGATTGTTGTCTGGTGCAGAGCTTTTCATGACCTGAAGTGTATAAAGAAGAAAATGAGAGGAGACTGGAAATAAGTACCTGTAATAAGGATATTAATACAAATCTCATTGCATTTTGTTTTAGGGATGTTTTTCCAGTGGATCCTTTGTGCAGCAATATGGATTGTATCTCTGGCTGTGAATTTAATATTGAAATGCCCAGAGTTTTGGCCCCTTGCTATGTTGGGTGGCTTTTTATGGGCTACTGGTAAGTGCATGATCCATATTGTATTTTAGTCATTGTAAAAGCAGATGAAGTTGCACTTGCTGCCTAATGTTGGTCTTTATAATTACTGTAGACCATTTTCGACTATTGAATGTTGTGTCAAAATAAAAGGCTAATGGATCCTCTCTGTTATTAATCAATAAATAGTGCCAAAACTTCAGGTGTTGCACCAATATATGATTATATCCAGATATTCAAAAGTTACAGTCTGAATTACCATTCTATCTGTGCCCCTCATGATTTTATACATTTCAATAAGGTCACCCCTCTTTCTCCTACGTTCCAAGGAATAAAGTCTTGTCCTGGCCAACCTGTCCCTCTAACTCAAGCCTACTAGTCCTGGCAACATCCTCGTAAATCTTCTTTGTATGCACTTTCCAGTTTAACTATGTATTTTCAATAATCGGGCAACCAAAACCATAGACAATACTCTAAATGCGAACTCACCAATGACTTATACAGCTGTAACACAACGTCCCAACTACAGTACTCAGCAACTTGATCGATGAAGGCCAGCGTGCTAAATACCTTCTTCACCACCCTATCTACTTGTGACGCCACTTTCAATGAACTATGAACTTGTGTTCCTAGGTCCCTCTTTTCCACAACACTCCTCAGGACCTTACTATTTACTGTATAAGTGCTACCTTGGTTTGACTATCCAAAGTGCAACACCTCACACTTATCTGTATTGATTGTATAATTGCATTTGCCAATCCTCAGCCCACTTCCCCATCTGATCCAAGATCCCTCTGTAATTTTTCATAATCTTCCTCACTATCAATAATACCTCCTAATTTTGTATCATCCGCAAACTTACTAATCATGCCTTGTACATTCACATCCATTTCATTTATGTAAATAACAAATGACAAAGGTTCCAGTACCGACCCCATGGCCCACCACTAGTCACAGGCCTCCAGTCCGAGAAACAACCTTCAACCGTCACCCTCTGCTTCCTACCATTTGAGCCAATTAGTTAGCACTCCCTAAATCCCATGCAACCTAACTTTCATGACTAGCCTGCCATGCGAGACCTTGTCAAAGGCCTTACCAGGTCTGAATAGACAACATCCACTGCCCTACCCTCATCTATCCTCTTGGTTACCTCTTCGAAACACTCTAAAAGATTTGTCAGACATGACTTCCTGCACATAAATCTATGCTGACTATCCCTAATCAGACCTTGACTATTCAGATGTTGGTTGATCCGGTCCCTCAGTATCCTCGCCAATAGCATGCCTACCACTGATGTCAGACTCACTGGTCTGTAGTTCCCTGGCTTGTCTTTGCTATCTTTCTTAAACAAGGGAACAACATTCGCCACCCTCCAGTCTTCCGGAACTTCACCAGTGGCTAAAGATGATTGAATTATTTTTAGAGAGAAAAATTAATGTCATGCAGTACCTTCTGCTTGAACTTGTTTCTTTCTGAATCAAATTCAAAGGACCATCTAGTAATAATTGAGTGTTGTTGCTATAGAAAAGGCAAATAAAGAAAACACATGAAATTTCCTACATAGGGCAAAAACATAGTGCAGAACGGCAAATCTCACTTGCCAGTTTATAAGTTGTCAAAGTTATGTTAGTCATGTAAGTCTTATTTTATAATGCACAACTCGTTCATTCAGTTTATTTGGGATAAGCTGAAAATGAAGATTTGCTTGAATTCATGCAAATTAGGTGCAAACCTCAAAAGTTCTGATTGTTCTAGCATTGAATCTCAATTTTATTTGAATAGTTTTAATTGATTCTCCAGCATCTTTTGTGACTCCATGTCATATAGAACTTAGAGCTTTTGAAACATCTGTCCGACTTATCCTAATCAGTATGCTTTATTTAAACCTTGTGCCTTGAGGCTTAAACTTGGAGTATTGCAGTCACTGAGATTAGTGTCTATTGAAAACAATTCAAAACGAAGTACCAACATTTCTAAAACAAATAAAACATCAACTTTAAACAATTAAAATAAATCAAAGCAGCAAGTGCTGAAGGAACTCGGAGGAAGTCAGCAGACATTAATATTTTGAGTCCAATATACTGTTTTCAAAACTAAGAAAAAGAGTCATTGCACTCAAAACATTAACTCTATTTATCTGTCCACCGGTACTGCCAGACCTGCTGAGTTTCTCCAGCATTTTGTTTTTATTTCAAATCTTTGGCTGCAGTACTTAATTTTGATTTGTTTCTAATAAAACTTGTTTCTTTAGTAAATGCTTTCATTGGAAGATTTAACAAACAAGCACAGCGTCGAAGTGAATTTATATATTATTTTATTAGTGATTTTTGCAGGCTATTGGAAAGTTAAGACTGTGGCGATTTAAAGTCAGAATTCATAAAAGACTGGATTGCTGTAGGCATTTTTTTTTCTTTTTAATTCATTCATACAATGTGAATAATTATAATTGGGTAATGGACCCTTGAAAAAGTGGCGATGAGGTGCCATTTTAGATCTCTGCTGTTCTTGCTGGGTGTACATACATCCACAATACTGTTAAGGAGAGAGTTCCTGGACTTTAACTCAATGACTGTGAAGGAATCGTGATGTATTTGCAAGGTAGGCTGGTATGTGACTTGAGCACATTTTCAAGTGGTGGTGTTCCCATGCATCTGCAGATAGTCGAAGTCCTAAGTTTGGAAGGTGCTGTCCGAGGAGCTTTGCTGCAATGCATCTTGTGATGGTATACGTTGTTGCTTTGGTGTGTAGGTATTGAAGGTTATGCATGTCAAAGGTGGACTGGGTGCCAGTCAAGGGGACTATTTTGTCTAAGATTGTGTTGAACTTCTTGAGTGGTCTTGGAGTTACATCCATCCAGGCAAATGCAGAGCATTCCTTTGCATTCCTCACTTGTGTCTTGCAGATGTTTGGACAGGAGGTGAGTACTGCTGCATAATCCCCAATCTTTG